AATGGGAACTGGTTGCTTCACCACAACAATGCTCCAGCCCACACAGCTTTGATGGTCCGACAGTTTTTGACAAGCAACAACATGGTGATTGTGCTTCATCCACCTTACTCACCCGACCTGGCTCCGTCGGACTTTTTTTTGTTTCCACGGATGAAGAGAAGTCTGAAAGGAAAGCGATTCCGTGATGTGGATGAAGTCAAAGAAAACACGCTAAAGGCTTTGAATAGTATCCAGCCTCAAGAATTCCAGCACTGTTTTGAGCAGTGGCAAAAGCGTTGGGACAAGTGCATTAATGCACATGGACAATACTTTGAAGGTGACTAATATACAGTTCAATAAAAATGCAAAAATAAAAAATAACAAAAATAAATTCCGGTTATTTTTGGGTCCCCCCTCGTACATTAAAATCTTCAGAAACTTACTGGCTTATCTGAAACATAATAAAATACTGATATAATAATATAACAAGACATTCATTAGTAAACGTTATATGTATGCCACTAAATATAACTATCTAAACAGCTCTAACTTAATAAAAATGAGGAGACAGGCTCTCTCTACAGCACGATGGCTGTAGAAGTTTGACAGGCAAACAAAGTAATGTGAAAATTGTGCCAGTTTGTCAAGAACTGCTACAGACTAGCTGTGACAAATTAGGTTAGGCTAGGTTTGGTAATTTAAAACTAAATTCTGTAATAGGATAGGAAAGTTCTTGGTTTCAGTTCGGCATAGGATGGGGATGTTGGAAGAGTGCACCATCACAGTATATTTTTCTCTTCTTATAAATTGTTTTGTCATAGGAGGAGGCCTCATGTTTTTACTAGATCCTATTTTGGAAATTAGGTGGTCATGCTAAGAAAGACAGAATCTCTTCTTGCACGTTGGTTCAATGAGCACTCCATGACAAACATAACTTTTACTGGTTCTGTAAGTTATCAACTGCAGTATTTGATGCATATTAGATTAACATTAAGTAGCACTTTCCTGGAATATTCAGTCAATGGTGAAGTACTGAAGTTTAACAAGGACACTGTGTTAAAGATGAATGTAAAATGCTTAATTAAGTAGCATGTCATGAGGATGTATGGCAGAGAGAAGCAAAGATATTCTCTACATGCAGCTTCTTGTGGACCAACAGCTTTCATATAAATTAATTTTATTCACAAGGGTCTGAATGTAATGTCCATCTTTTATGTTTGTTTCTACAGTCATGTCTAACAGCATTTTAAACACAGCTGAGGAACTACGTACATACAACTGATGTCCATTACACTACCAACCTGGGACATTATTTATTTATTACTTCCTCCAAATCATATTCAGTGACAACGATATATAGGAGGTAAAGAGTTATTAATATATGATTCACATCCCAGCCATTTTATCTCCAGGGAAAGAGCCCCTAGTACAGACTGGACAGGAGGCTTGGTAGACCTCAGAGCCAATCTGAACACTGTAAAGAAGAAACAAATCTCTTGTAAGATTTGAGGTTTTCACGGCAGTGACTATGAAGAAAGCATTCTTCTGGGATGTGGCACTGTGTACACGTGGTATTAACCGACGTTTCGGAGGAACGTATCGCTTCCATCTTCAGGGTAAAAGGAAAAATAACAAAATCCGCAAGCGAAGAGACAGTCAGAATAGGTGCTTGCGGATTTTCTTATTCTTATTTCTACCCTGAAGATGGAGGCGATACGTTCCTCCGAAACGTCGGTTAACACCGCATGTACATGGTGCCACATCCCAGAAGAATGCTTTCTTCAAACAAATCTCCTGTCTCTTTCAGGAATCGAATCATGACTTCTTGGCATTAAGCCAATACCCCATCACTGTACCAGCTGTTAATATTGTTAGGCAACAGTTTGGTAAACAAGTTCGATTGAAGACAGATTCTTGGTAAACAGTCCATGGCTAGGTTACGCAACAATAGAGGAGGCTGTGTTTTCTATGTTGTCCGCACTATGACCAGCGCTGGTAATGGACCAATGAACTCACAGTCTGACAACATATTTTCTGTGGGATCTGTGCTGAGAGGATGTAAGACAATATGGTGCCCCACAAAAACAAGACCAAAATTGTCAAAACAGTAATAAATATCTGGTCATAAGCCCCAGATTGGGCTCAACTCCAAGACTGACTGACTCACTCACTCACTGACCATCAGTCACAATGTGACTTTGACTGGGACTTGACTTAAGTGGAAGACAATTGAGTGGAATGTTGAACAAAATCGGTTACTAGTAAACGCTTAGTGAAGACAGAGAGACTTTATGTGTGCTGCAGTTACAGTGATATTTGGAGTGTGTGGTTCAGAGAGACTCTTATATTTCCTGTGTTAAAATAAGTTAGCAGGAAACATCTGGTGAAGACAGAGGACTTTTGTGTGAGCTGTGGTTACAGAGATATTTGGAGTGTGTGTGATTCAGTGGGACTGTTGTCGTTGACTGTGGTGGCGATCCGTAGGTAATCAGTGGATCTGATATCGAGACACTCTAACACATGACAGTATTTAAAACACCTCTGTATGTGGGAGATATTTAAAGAAATAGTTTGACATTTGCAAATGATTTACAACAAAAAACTTGTTAGGATTGCCTTCAGTAAATTAACATCAAGGGCAATGATACAAGGGTAACAAAAATGTACATTTGATAAACCGGTTTACTTCAGTGGCGTACACATATAACAACTTCTTCAAAAGTCTGCTATGTTCATTATGATCAAACACGAAAAGTGATACACAAGTAATAATGTCACATGCAGGGCCTATAACTTAAAACAAAAATGGATGTTACTAATCTCATGTGGAAGTGGGGTCAAATATCTTCATCATAGCCCTCCAAGTTGCAGGAGGTGACAAAAAGGAATGTCTTGAATCTGAAACAGTAAAATATGGTCATAGGTCCGATGGGACTCAGACCCAAAAATGACTGTGCTGGTGAGGGCGAGCAAAAATTGTAAATGACAAACCTGTCCTCTTGTCAGATAGAGTGACCCACATCAACAAACTTGAAACTGTCTGACAGTAATAAAAATCTGATCATAAGCCCAAGATGGGTGCTTTATTCCAAGACACACTTGCCGACTTACCATCGGTCGTAATACAATACTCAACTCGACTTGAAGCGACTTGACTTGAGTCCAGGAGAGTTTTAGTTGAGTCCTGAGGTTCCATGGTGATTGAACAAGAAATGACAAAAAGACTTCATAGTGATTTGAAGTGACAGTTTTTGTGTTGAAATCCATTGCTAGGAGATGACTAGTGGAAACAGAGAATCCTAGTGTCCGTGCAACGGTGCACTGGAAAGTGTGCAAATCAGCAATAGCGCTGTATTAATTGTAATTAAGAGAGACTGTGACCAAAGTGCCAATAAATCCAATAATCCAATCTGGAACCCGTTATTTTCCTCATGCATACCTCCATACACATATTAGGTGGGTCCCTTGTCACCACTGCATGGCGTGTCCTCAGGTTGTGGATGGAGGAGATGCCCTCCAGGTATGGATGGAAGCTGTGAATACACTGAATAAGCAGTAGTGGAGAACCGACAAGGGGTGGCCCTCAAGTTCGGGGGTTGGGCGTGGGACTAACAACTCCTCACCGTAAAAAATAACCGTTACAAAAATGCACACAAAGCCTCGGACCTGGACAGATCCTCTGGATAAACGACCTTGGACAATATTAAAATGGATCTCAGAGAGAGAGGATGGGATGTTATGGATTGGATTGATCTGGCTCAGGATAGGGACCAGTGGAGGGCTCTTGTGAGCATGGTAGTGAACTTTCGGGTTCTGTAAAATGCTGGGAAATTCTTGAGTAGCTGCATATTTGGTGGCTCCTCAAGAAGGGCTCAGCTCCATGAGTAAACATGTAAGTAAGTTAGTAAGTATTGGCCACGCCATAGCTCAAGTGGTTAGTTGCTGGCTTCCCACCGCGGTGTTCTGGGTTCGATCCTGGGTCTGGTCAGGTGGGATTTGTGGTGGACAAAGTGGCGCTGGGGCAGGTTTTCTCAGAGTACTTCGGTTTCCCCTGCCAATCTCCATTCCACCAATTGCTCCACAATCACCCTCACCTAACATTTGGGGCTGGTACAATAGGCCAGAAGTGGCCACAGTACAAGGGAGTTAGTCCCACCCCACTAGCAATAAATAAAAGTTACTAAGTAAGTAAATGCCTCCATATATGTGGCAATATGAATCGTTTCCAAATGCACCAGGGTAGTAGGACTTACCACTTATCACCTTATGCTGTCTACTAACCATGCATTTACTGGGCACAGTAGACTGTCAACAGGAATTTTACTGCTCTATATCTGAAATTTCCTACCTGATGTAATTCCATCAATATGGTTAAAATGATCAGAATATAAAACATAAATACTTTCTATTCTAATATCCTTAAGAAACATAATATTTAAACTGATAAGGAGAATTTATTGCACTTGACATAATTCAACAGAGATTTTTACACTCATGTTATAAGGCTCAACTTATCCCCAGCACACACCTGTAACTACACCTCCAGTTTAATATATGCTGTTGGAGCTGGGGAAATAATTAGATATATTTTATCAAATTAAATGTTGGTCTACAAAGGGCTGTTAGTTGTTATTATTCCTAATTAGAATTTGTGAGATGTGAATATCTCTTTTAGTAGTTCTCTTCAGACTTTCAAGACAAATGCAATAATGGTTAAGTTCCATTCTAAATCAACTGACCATTCATTTTCATCATATTTCTTGTTCAATTAAACATAACTTTCTTGTTAACACTGCACATATACACTGCACTGCACATATAATCTTGTACTTGTTACCATGTATTAAAGTATTAAAAACTTGGGCAATGATACTAAAAAGTTTAAATCAGAGTTAAAGAATTATCTACATGCTCATTCCTTCTACTCTTTAGATGAATACTTCAATGTAAATAGAGAATGATGTAAAATTAAGTTATATTAATTTTTAAGCTAAAATTGCCTGTACTTATGCATGTAACCTTTTGACATGTTCTGTATCCAAAGGTACTAACCTGCTTAGGATTTATAGAATGTAAATAAGTTCATGATTTGTTTAATCCGTCTTGCAGTGCGTACACTTATCTATCTTCTTCTCTCACTCTCACTACATGTTTCGGCATAAAAATGCCATCTTCAGGTGCTACTCAATTCACGTCAAACTAGTACATTGTATGCCTTGTCTTCACTTTAAAATAACTAAAATATATGTCCATCATATATATTGACAAATGTCAATCGTAAAAATATTAAAACTGTTCAGGATTCCCGATCGCTACGTCGTATCTTATTATGCCAGTCATGCTCATCCTACTCTGTTGGAGCTCTTCTTCCCTATCGTGTGTATTGTGTTTCTGTTGCGTCTTGTTCTCGCGACTGCGTGCGTTATGCTGTTGGGTCTGCTGGGTAATATTTTTACGATTTTACATTGTGCTTTTGAGCCCTCCCCCCAAAAAAAAGGTTCAAAGGGTATGTGATAGGCCGCACCATAGCTCAAGCTATGGCCGCAGTGCAAGGGACTTAGTCCCACCCCAGTAGCAATAAAAAGAAAAAAGTGCATGTGATTATGATCCTTCACAATTAGTGAAAAATTAAAGATAAAGGATAAAGCGCACATGGGAACATATTTCGCCCATAATTGTAGGAAAGAGTTTCAAAAAGTGAAGCACATCAAATAGCTTGCATGGGTCAGAAGATGATTTCATTTGGTACAGTTATGATGACTGCATGAGCTCTGCTGATGATGACAATGACAATGAAGAAAGCAATGGTGAATAAAATGCTGTGGGTATATAATCTTTGTTTGAAATGAGCAAGTTTCATGTGACAAAGTCACAACTGAATAAAGATGAAGTACCACCATAGATGCTAGTACTGCATCATTTTCATATTGCAGGACACCAGGTCTTGGGAACTGAAGATGTAGCACCATCAGAAATAACACAGAAGTGTTCATTTGTATGAAATAATGTCTATCATTTAATATGTTTATTAATGTTTAATGTTTAGTTAATGTTCAATACTTAAAATTTGGGGTGTGTGGCTTATTTGAGGGCATAGGGTATTCAAGGAAGTACAGTATTCAACACCACGGTACCATAAATCTAATAATCTTTACTTACGAGGCTTCCACAGATGAGTCTGTTAGTATAAGGTCCTTCATCTTTAGTAAATCTGTTTTGCTGGGGGGACTCCTTGTGGCACCATCTTGTGGTTCCCTCACTTCTACTTTTGATGTCCCTGACCCTCCAGGGTCTGAAGGTGCTGGGGGCCCAGGACTTAAATGTGACCTGAGCAGCTGCAAGCAAGAAGGCAGTGTAAACTGTGTTTGATTTGTAATACTTAAATAGAATTCTTGATCATTCAATTAGTATGTTGAGGAGCACTGATTTTTTAAACATTAAAATCTTTTTTAAAACGTAAATTTTATTCAGGAAACTTGCATAAAACGTTATCTTCCTAAGCAACGAAGAATTCAGGTCATAAATGAGAGGTTCTTAAATAACTAACCTTCCCTTCTCCCCTTCTCTTTAGTATACACACAAGAATTACATAACTTAACACACCTTCAGGAAGTTCATTACATAAGTTGACACATTATTACACTCTGTGTACTGCTAGGTGCTAATAAATCCAGAACCCATACACCTCCCTCTTTTTCACAATTAAACTATTACAATCCCAGAAGACTCAAAGGCTCATAGGCCTTTACATTCGGTGGTACCAACAAAATGAAGTAAAATTTTCCATTTCCATTTTGTTTATATTGTTGCATGATATATATAATTGATACAAACATGCAAGGATAAATATGAACACAATTTAACCTACTTTGAATGCTATACTGATTTCAAAATATTGCATTTAAATATTTAAAAAAACTGAAAATCATAGTGATTTTAGATGACATAATGATGTAGATTTAATGAATGTAATTTCAATTACATAAACCTTATTAGCTTACATAAAGGAGCTGGTCCTTCATGATGAATCTGTAGGTTTGAAACAGGTTAAATAAATTAATTACTTATGCTGATTGTAAATAAAATTGTTATTATTCCACTTGGTACTTCACATTCATGAATTCTTTCCACAGGCATTTGAAATATTTTAATTATGATATGTAAGATATACAGATGGACAAAGTGTTGAGATGGGGATTGACTGTTACACTGTCTGCCTCCATCCAATGTTCATGCTCTTCTCTATTTCTATGATGTCATTCTTAGGCAGAGAGCATAATGCTCTGTTATACTCACCTCCATGTTGATGGCCTCCATGGCTGGGGAGAGGGGTGGGCAAGCAGATGTCTCAGCCTCATCCATTGCAGTACTGCTGACAGATGTTGCTTCTGATAAGAGAGTGTCAAAGCAGCAACCAGCCTGATTCCCACACACAATATGCAGAGGCTGCCCTGTAAACACAAAGGGCACAGCTAACAGTAACTTAAAATCTACAGCATTGAACTGCATGACATAAAAATACTAGGAATACTGACTGGTATTTATAGATGACTTTAGAAAAGATCAAAGAAAAATCTACCATAATTTTATAACACAAAACATCATGTTCATACAAGGGTTGGATAAAAAGTAGTGGCAACACCGCTGTAACATGAAAGATGTGCATCAGATGGCACTAGCGCCATCTGTAGCTGATAGCAGAAGTTCAGTTGAAGTAGTGCAGTGAGTGGCTCTGATTGTATTTCATTGAGTTGCATTGTGCATTGTCTTGAAGTGCAGGAGCCCTGTTCAAGCTCCTAACAACATGTTTATGAAACAAGAATAATGCTCCTGGATAAGAATTGAAGTTGCATGAGGTTGTAATGCTCAAAACTGTTATCAGGGACTGTGAAAAGCATGTGGTGATGCTGCTTTACCATATCATGCAGTGGTACGATGGGTGAAATTGTTCCACAAAGGGAGGGATGCCATTCAGGACATATGTCGTTCAGAACAACCCCATGTTGACAACCACACAATTCAGCTTGTTGCTTCTTTGCTGGATGTTGATCATCGATGGGTTGCGTGGGAGTTAGGTGCTGAGGTGGGCATATGCCACAAACCCATGCTCCACATTCTGCACAATATTCTTGGATACCGCAAAACTGCAGCATGTTGGGTACCCCATAAAATGTCTGAGGTGCAACAATGGCAACATTACACAATTGCACAGGACTTGTTGGACCAGTACTAGAGGGAAGATGATGACTTCCTTGGAAGGTTCGTCACTCTGGACGAAATTTGGGCTCGCTCATACGAACCACACTTGAAGTGACAATAAAATGAATGGAAGCATCCTGGCTCTCCTCGTCCAAAGAAAGTGCGCCCTACACAGAGTAATGTGAAGGCGATGTTCATTGTGAGATATGACGTTGAAGGAGTGATACTGCACCACACTGTACCTTAACGACAGTAAATGCTGCCTACTACTGCAATTTCCTGCGTAATCATCTTCGTTCAGCACTCAGGAGAAAGCGACGACACTTGTTGGCAATGAACCCCATCATCCTTCATGGCAATGCAAGGGCTCATACTGCCCACGCTGTCAAGGATCTCCTTCGCTGCTAGCAATGGGAGATACTGCAACATCCGCCATACTCACCCGATATGAGTCCATGCAGTTATGATCTCTTTGCCAAAATGAAAGAACCACTGTGAGGGACACGTTACAATACAAGAGAGGAGATTATTTGTCCTGTAGGGCTGTCACTGCTGGACATCAACAGAAGTGGAGGCGATGATGGTGTAAGACGCCTTCCACAAATTTGGCAGAAGGTGGTGCACATGGGGGGCGATTATAGTGATAGAATGTAAGTTTGTTTACCTCAGGTAATAAAGTCATTTCAGAACTATAGACGTGTTGCCACTTTTTATCTGACCTTAGTATATCAGAATATGCTTCATGAAAACTTCTGTAATTATTAGAAACTACCATCATGCTCCTATGGATTAGAGAGAAATTAGAAGTGTATACAAAGATGGCTGACAACTTGGCTGGTAGCACTTGGTGCTGAAATAGCAGACTCAAAAAAAGTGGATACTGCAAGTTTGCATGACCAGAAATTTTAGAAGAAAAAATACACTTTAATGATTCTTTTCTAACATGAGAAAACAAATAACACAGCAACTGGAAAATCATGAACAGGGCTTTAATATGTCTTTACAGTATAAAATACATTATGTATTTGCAGAATGATTTATTACAATTCTAGTTGTAGTGTGGTGGATATTATGTCTAATTCTGAGTTAAACTTTCATATGAAGTGATAATACATTCTGAACACTGAGATGGTTCCGGCTAGGAATAAATTTGCTCGGTAAATTCATTTTCATGAATCACTGTACTAAATATCATGAAAGTTATTTAAAAGAATGGTGCTGTTTCTTGAGTGAAGACAGAAGGATGCATTAAAACAGTAAAATTGATATTGTTTGAAAATTAATTAGAAGACTGCTGATAATCTAGATATTAAACTCCCTCACCATCTGGCTCCAAGAGGTCCAGCTCTCCCACCAGACTGTCTCCATACAGTACACTGCCTGTGGAGCTGACTCCACTGGAGCTCTGCACGCTTTCGTTGCTTACATACTTGGTGGCAGGCAGGTCGCTGCTAGCTGGACTTGATCCCTGCATCCCAGGGCCACAGTTCCATGACAAGCGCTTGTGGATACTTGCATCTCGGCTATCCTGCTTCTGCTCACAGACATATGAGACTTGATGAAATTATATCAGTACGAGATAAAGTAGAGTCTGGGATTAGCAGTGTACAAGTGCACTGAGAGATCAGTGATCACCTGATTCTAGGGCAGCAGACACTGAAGATTTAACACCACTAATATGGTACTAAATCCTGCCACTGAACATAATCCTGAGACATATCCAGCCATCTCTGATTCTCACACCCTGTTTCCATATGATCCATCTTAATGCTACTGTACATTATATCTCTCTCAAGCAGGCATTTTTCTAGAGTTATTCTCACTAACACTTCTTTCCTTCCCCATCCAAGCAACATATCAAATCCATTGCAATCTCATAGATTTCACCGTCTCAATAATGTTACACAAATTGTAAAAATCCAAGAGTTTCTCATTATGTCAGTCGTATTGGATAGGTGGCTGGGTAGACCACAGAGAGAGAGCCACTCTGGACATGGAGGTGAAGAGAAAAAACTTACTTCTTCCAGTAGTGGTTCATAATAAGTCACTTTACTGATCGAGGTATCCCGTTTCACAACTTATACACAAAAGCAATTAAATTACAACCACATCTGGGAAAGTATAAAAAGGAAATTTGACTTCGTAAGGGTGGCGCAACTGGTGGTAACGTCTTAATACAAGACAGAATGTCCAAATGTTTACATCTCTAGAAATATACGTCTCCAGCAACGGTTCACTTCAGGCCAGCCACACAACAGGCACTATAGAAAGTGTGTGAATGAAAACGAACTTGATAACGTGCTATCACGTTCACGTTATGCGTGCGCAGCTGCTTGTGGGTTGCGTGAGGTTCACACCTGCCCCCCACCGCATTACGTCTTTCCTCTAATGATACATTTGTGCATCGAATAATTCTGGAGGAGGCATGTCTTTATTTATTTTGGAATTTAATTAATTTGGTAAGATGTCCAGTATGAAAACTATGGTCTTTGGATTGTAATGTCGTGTAGTGGTCTCCCTCCGAACTACATGGCATTACAAGCCAGAAGACCATACTATATACTTCGTCCGCAGAAAGAACTTCAAATACAAATTTTCCACGTATATACTTGAATTAAGATTTGGTTCTAGTCCCGTACTTAAAGTATCATAGCAATTGTACCTACATACCTGCCACCTCTTCATAACACTTTGTTTAAAGTATCCAAGTGCATGTAATACAGCTTTTGCAAACTCCATTAACTTATAGGTACATGCAAAAACCTTTTGTTAATCTATCTCAAATGGTGTTCTCTGGCGATCTTAACCAGTCAAACAGAGGATAAAACGATGTACTTGCTTCTTTGGTTTGATGTTTAGTAAAATAATACAGCATACGAATGAACTCCGTGGTTTTAGTCCGCAAGGGAACTATACCGACCGAGCGACAGCCGCGAAGTTAGTGCCAACTTTTGCGGATAGAGGGTGTCGCGTGTTCAGCGAAACAAATCCCCACTGCCGTTAATTTCGGTTTTCTAGACCTGAGCCGCTACTTCCTTGAAACAGCTCCTTAATTATCCTCACTAGGCTGAGTGGACCCCGTTTCAGACCCACTACTTCTAGAAAATCTGGTAGCCCCGGGAATTGAACCCGGACCTCTGGATCTGTAGTCAGGAACGCTGACCACTAGACCACAGAGGCAGTCTTGGTCCCAAGAAACAACTCAGCTAATTCTAATCTGGTGCTGTTTTATCTTAGGTAACGGTAGCTACAAGTCGGAAGGTCGCGGGTTCAAATACCGATGAGGTCATTGGATTTTTTCAATTGATCCAATCCTTCCGACCGCACTATGGCCCTGGGGTTCACTCAGCCTCTAACAGAAATGAGTACCAGGAATTAAATAAATAATTTTCCTGGGGAATAAAGCGCGGCCGGCGCGTAGGGCTGACAACGTTACCGCCATCTGTGAGCCGATTGTCTAGATAATGTGGGACCCTCAACGTCTCACAACCCTATGGGCCTTCACGGCCTGTTACAGGGATAGCTTTACTTTACTTTACTTTACTTCTCATTATGTAATATTCTAAACTGTCCACTTACTGTATCCTTCTTAGATCCCGATATGTTCCCAAAGACTTTATTTTCATATACCTGTAATTTATATTTCTTCCTTAATATAAGACTAGTTGCTTATCAATAACAACATTCTAAATTTTGGATTATTCATGAATGTATTCATTTGCAGTTTTCCTTTCATCTTTATTAATGTCCTGAACACAGATATCATGTTCTTCTAATGGAGCGCCAACTGCATGATGGATGGACAGACATTGAGTTAATTGGTGCTACTGCATTTTTTTTACAAAATATGCCTAAGAAGATGAGGCCTGTAAATTACTAATCCAAGTGAATGCATGACTAGTTGTGTGCACAAACCTTTAAGTCATCAATGGCTCCAGCTGTATGGTACCGTCTGTTGTCTGTTCGCGTAAGGCGCTTCATCATGGCATGACGATGTGGGTGTGACCTCAGGGGGCCTGTGCTTGCAGCACCCTCAGGTGGCTCAGGGGTCACTCGCTCCTCACTGGGTGGGGATATACCTGCAAATATTAGAAATAAAACATTAATTGCAACTCATGCTTGCTGCATAGTACAAATAAAATTTGTTTCACATTATTATCTTATACTTAAAATAACTTTTCTGTCTCTTACCTTAAATACAGAGTGGATAACTATATTCTTATAAGCCCTAATTAATTTTTCTATTATGAAGAAATGAACAAGGATTTGTGTTCAGTATAAGATATTATGATTTATTTTTCTTTCTGTACAAGAAAGATGAATATCATCTCAAAAGTGTTTAAAAATGTATGGCAGTCTACAAAAGTCTGCAAAAACAGTGTGTAGGTAAATAGGTTAAATCAAATTGTTTAACTTCTGTGACCATTATTGTCAGTAAGTCATGAATGTGTAGCGTAAGTCTCTGTAACAACTGTCTTTGATTTCTGTCTAGATTTTATCTCACAGAATGATGAATTTGGGTTTGGAAGAAACCAAATAAGATTGAATTTTATTATCTGTAATAATCTCCTTGTACTACAAGCATTATTATATTTAAAAGATTAAGACTGGCTGCAGATCTATAATGGGGGAAGAAATACAGTGGAATTTCTTTGGAAGCAGCAATTAATAAAGTGACATAAAAATGCTCTAATACTAAACTGGATACAAATTGGAACTGATGGAATACACATTGAACTGGTTCTAACACCAGGGGGTTTGTTTTAAATATATCAGACTCAGTATTATCCACCTTATTGGGGCACGTGGTAGCTCAGTTGGTTGAGGCACTATGCTACAAGCTGGAAGGTCACAGGTTCAATTCCCAAGGAGGTCATAGGATATTTCAGTTCACCTAATCCTTCCAACTGCAATATGGCCCTTGGGTCAACTCAGCCTCTAGCAGAAATAAGTACCAGGAACCTTCCAGGGGGTGGGGGGTTAAGGGCGGCCAGCACATAAGGCTTACAGCCATCTGTGAGCTAATTGTCTAGAAAATGTGGAAGCCTCAATGTCTCACAACCCTATGGGCCTCCATGGCCTATTACAGGGATAGCTTTACCTTTTTATTATCCAGCTTATATAGAAAACAAGATCTTCCACTTACATGATTTTGATAGCTACATGAGAAAAAGTCTTACAGAAACGCAATAAAAAGCCAAAATGACACATTTTCATTTTAGTTCTTGCATTAGAGTCATCCTCAGTGACACAGTTACTGATGGGTGCAAGATTTTCGACATGCATGCACACACACGCAGTGTAATGTGATCACACATGTAAGTAGCATGTATTGTAATGGCACCTGCACGTTGGAGGACAAGGGATGGTGATACTCGTGACAGCTGCAAGAGCTACTGAATGACTGGTGAAAATATGTGGTTTGCAAATTTGTTTTTGAATAACTTTATAAAAGTGGTAAATTTTCTTTCAAATTTATGCCAGATGGATGTGAATATGGAGGCTTGGACAGTGGGTAACTGCAAGTTTATTATATAACATTTCACTCTTGGAGAATCACATAAAGAGATACAGATGCTGCAAAAACAAATGGTGTGATTTTGTGTGTGGAAACAATGAATTGCCTAGCAATGGAACCAAGGCATGTGTTACACAACACGCTGTTTTAGTGGTACTGTTATAGCTTTGTATTCAGGAAATGCCTGGTTTGAGTCAGCCAGATTACCAGATATTTTGGTTGGCTTGCCTCAATCTCTCCAAGTGAATGCCAGGATATTACCTTTATATGTGCCACTATTATCACGTAAATCATCACTCATTCACCAATCATAATCATATCAGCATCTCCTTCAATGCTATATAACTTCCATTATTGTAATAGCACAGAACACTTACAGTCAAGACACACAGTTCCCTATTGTCTCACCTGCTATCACTGGAACATCAAAGTCAAAGCTTGCTGCCGGGCTAGGGCCCTGAGTGGGGCTGGTCACAGTTGGCACACCACTGCTCACTGTTGATGAGTTGACATGTCTGGTCTTCTGCAGTGGAGGGTTTCTGGACTGTGTGAGAGCAAACCCTCTTCGAAGTGAGCCCCGTGGGGGTGATGGTGGTGGGTAGGACACACCCCGATGTCCTGGGCTCAACAGACCGCCGTGGTGATGAGAGGTGCTGGCACTGGTCTTGCCAGATGGTGGTACAAGGAGCAGTGATGTGGGAGGGTTGGGCGCTGAAGCATGGCTGGTGTTGGGTGAAGTGGCCAGGTTCAGATTAGGGAGTGACTGTCCCAGGTTGGAGAACACAGGAACCTGCACGCTCAGAGTATTAGGCGATGGGGTCTTGGACAGCAGACTGCGCCTGAAGCAGGATACAGTCTCAGCTCAAAACAGCACTGCATATCAAAACAACTACTGCAGTGTATTTACTGATACCAGACTAAATGAGTAACCAAGCAACTATTTTCTTATTATTACTATTATTATTATTATTATTATTATTATTATTATTATTATTAGAGGGGATGGGTTTCCCCATGCACTTAGACCAGTTATTGGTCCATTGTGTGTTGCCTAATTTTGCTCAGAGGTCTCCTAGAGAAATGAGGATCTTTTACGTGCCGTAAATCTAAGACACGGGACCCATGGCTTAAAGTCCCTCCTGGAGGACTTGTTCCCTTAAAAATTCCACAACCTCCGCCAGGTTTTAACCTGCGTACCTTGAGTCATGAGGTGGGAACGTTACCCCTAGACTACGGAGGCCGCTAAGCAACTAAGTAACTAGCATAGAATCACATAACTTGAATAGACAATTAAATAACCAACAAATCAGCTCAATGTTGCAGAGTCCTTTTTGAGATGGTGATAATCACTCAGGTTATCAAGATATTCCTTGCTTTTCATGGACCCTAAATATTCATTACAATGTTTGTAAGGATCTTCAGCTAATCTTGATCATCAGCAAGTTGAATTCATTCTACACCTTACACTAAATCTAGTGGTTATTAGGAAAGATACTATTGTGACGAGTTATCTTATGTCCATCACCGCGACAACCGCTACAATCGGAATGGACCGACAATGAATACGTGGAAATTGTGGAGTTCCCGCAGTGACAAATCGTAGCAACGGAGGAGACGAAACATGTTACCAGTGTATAAGGAGCTTTCCCGAAGCAACAGATTATGACTTCATATCTAATGTTACTGTCTCAAAATAAATGCATATCAAGGTACAGAATAACAAATTAATTTAATAAAAAAGAAATTACTTATAAATCATTCATTTTGAAAGGTAATGTTACAAAATTTTTTACTCTTACATACTGAACATATTTGTACTTTCATCCTGAAATGAACTACACTGAAAGGAACAGAATTATTCAAATTACAAAAACAGACTCACAATGATTTAATAAGTTTAAGGTCTTTCATTCTGGTCCGTCACACTAACAAATTAACAATCAAGTTCCTTCCGTCAAATGTGACACCTTTTTCTACTATAAATGCCTCTGATGATGGCTCCGTGGTGAGCCGAAACATGTAAGGCAGGTGGTGGCGAGGTGGAAAACTTATAAAGGTGTCACATTTGATGGAAGGAACTTGATTGTTAATGATTTAATCTTTAAGAACATCATTACAAACTAATTTAGTGCCAAAAACAGAACATGAAATTATTTAATCTCAAAGTTATAGCATTTGCATGCCTAAAGCAACAAATTATAAGTAATGTAATCTTGAAAGATGTTACTTAAAAATTATTTTATCCAAGTAAATACAACCTTAAATTATTTCGTCTCAAAGATATTTCATATGAGAAGATGTTACAAAAGGTCTCCTTTTTGTGCTAAGTTGACAAGTGTACTAAATTCTCAGAATCACTTTCTAGGATTCTTAAGCCATCTATCTCTATAGTGGGCTAGCTCGATAATTAACTCTGGAGGTAAGAATTATGGTGACAACTAAAATTATATATATGCATATAAATATTCATTTGCTGTGCATGAATGAAACCTACAACTTGAGCATTCACTTGCAGAAACACCATGCTCACCATAATTGTTTAAAGAACAAATTTCTTCCAATAATGTTTAAAAGTTGATTTCCTATTAAAAGAGAAACACAGTGCATCACCATTATAATTTAGGCTGTTTTCGAACATAACTGCTATTTTTTAGATGAAACACATGAATATAACCTGTGTCCAAAATGCAGAGATTTTTAATATTGATGTAGGTAACCATTAATCTTTCAAGAGTTGAACTGTGTGGTCACTGCGATTCACAGCCCCACAAATATTGTAATATTTAATTATTATTTAATATTATGAGAGAACCTGAAAATTACTTAAACTCAAATGTCCTTAAATAATTTGCCAAAATTTGCTAAAACAGTTCTGCCCGAAATTACCTAAAGTTAATAAAATTTAAAACGTTTCTATCCCAAAATGATTTGATTTCAGCAGATATATTTTTAAAATTATTTCTTCTACAAACCACCAAATTACTAAACACAGTTTTTTAAAACAAAAGAAAATCTCAAAATGATGTATATTAAAAATATGAAGAAAAAAAGTGTATTTCATCTTGAAAGACAATCTCATAACACTACATTCACAAAAGAAATATCAAAATATTTTCAATAAAAAGACAAAACTGGCCTATTTTGAAAGAGGCCACACCCTTATCCATGACCAGTGGTGAAACAGTTACTGTTGTGCACAGTATCGTCTTTCATACCAATTGCAGCACTATGAAGCACGGTCTTACTCACCGATCTGGCCGAGGGGATGGTGTGGGAACTGGCTGCTGTGTCACAGCCTTGCCCTCACTGCATGAGCAGGTGGTCAGGGCAGGGATACCCTCATCGGAACTAATGCTTGAACCTCTCAGTTCATTCTCCATGCTGACACCTCGGGACTGGCTGACACTGCTGACTGATGAAACCTCATTCATGTCCATTGAGCCACTATAAATACAAGATAATTATTTTTTGATGCACAGACTGCATAAGTTATTTACCATCAAATAACATAAGAATATATGTGATGAAGTAGAAAAACGAGGAACAGGGATTTTGGACTACTTCAAGACAATACTCTGACCTTTGTCAGAGCATCAGTTGTGAAGCAAAAAATTTGACATTGTCTTGTTAAATAATGTTTTATGTTCTTACTTCAAAACATGGAAGTACTATGAAAGATTTTTCAAGGTATGCAGTAAAAGCAGAATCCCAAGACTGACCAGAACTTGATAACATGAAATCTGAAGAACGTTGTCACTGAGAAGTGGCGCCATGTAGTGTGCTAGATAGGTATCAATGTTTCAAAGGAATATTTTGCCTCCACCTTCATTGTAGACTTTAATGTTCTGGACTGAAGATGGAGGATGGATGTTTCTCCAAAACAATCGTCTTCATAGTCACTGTCATGATATGTTCTAAAAGAACATAACATTTTACAGAGTAAATCTGTTTCTGTCCTCATGAGAAAGGGTGGGGTGCACCTGCCCAGCTTGGCCTCTAACAGCTAATCTCTAGTAGTAGACAAAGTAAGTCAGTATAATTACATCAATGTATGTACCTAGAATCAAGTTTTGTCAGTGGGAGATAATAAAGATAAAGCTGTCCCTGTGCTTAACTAATTAAGCATTATGCCATGAAGACATATGGGGAGTGGATGTACAGATCCATCTATTCTTTATGTTGGCACTAGTTTGTGGTGAGTGGCCAGCCTCATGGCCCCAGTACCCATTGGACAGAAGGCTGGGTGAGCCCCAGAACCAGTCCAGATGACGTGGAGGGGTGAGAAACCTTGCCCCCACAGGGACTTGAACTGCAGCTGTGCAGTCCATAGCCTTTGCTATAACAACTGAGCTGTTCCGGCTCTCCAATGAGAGATAACAGGGAAACATAATATAAACTGTTGAGATGCATAGGTCTTTATATGTATATCCACAGTTGTTACTGTAAGTTTCCTAATTATCTTCCACTGACAAAATTGATCCCTGCTGCATATACAGATGCACTTGTACAGACTTAGGTTGTCCTACAATTGAGATTAGCATTATATAATTGACCTAACAGAGTAGGTGCCCCCCACCGTTACACCTGAAGAGAGAGGGAGTTGAGTCTATCAGGGAAGCATGGAGCAAGCAACAAACAGATTAAGTTTATGTTCCTCTCAAATGGCTGTCAGCTTCTATATTATTAAATTCTGTCACATTCTGGACTATGGTACTCCTCAACTTCTGAAGCTTCATGTATGTTGTAAAACATCTCTAGTAATGGGCAACACCCACCTTAATTAAGACAATCACCAAGTCTGACTGACAGAAACTTGTCACAGTGATAGAATGATAAAAAATGATTACAAATTATATATCAGAAAGGACATAATATATATTAAATGAAATGGCAATGGTTCTTTTTAAGGCATTCAACTGCAGAAAATAATAAAATGCCTCAGTCAGGACAGCCACTCTCACGTTCTAGATTCAAAACCAGTATCTCCTGTGCTAACCACTATATAATAAGTAATCAGTAGGAAAATGGCCTCCTCACCTGTGTGAGTGAACTAGGCTGGAGCCCCGACTGCCTCTGCTCGAGCCTCCTCGAGGGCTGCGGCTTGGAATGAGACCAGTATTCGTCCCATATGAAGCACAGCTCTGGCACTCTATCTGATCCATCATGTCATCATCCTCATAAAAACATGAGCTTGGCTGTCTGCTAATGGATCCCACTGTGGTGGTGACAGGAATGCTGGATGCTGCTGCAATGTTGGCAGCACTGCTTGCCTGCTTTGCAGCTGTATATAGTTCCTGAGCCTTTCTGATACCATCTACCCAGTTCTGTATAGAATGGAAATATAATCCAAACAACTAAGTAGATAAGATGGCACTCTCCTGAGACTCTTTAGGATGAATCAGTATGACGGTGAACTATCATCTTATGTTCGCATCAGTGAAAATTTTGCGGCTGCAGGGATGGTGGTCTTCATCACATTCAAAGTGATTCTCAGTTGATACAGTGAGTAGCCTATGGGCTAGATGACTGGGGAATCATGGCTTGATTCCTGTCAGTGACAGAGAATTTTCTGTTCTCCTTCAGCTTACAGCCCAACTCTGGGACTCACTCACCCTCCTATCCAATTGAGTACCAGGGTCTGTTTCTCTGGGAGTAAACAGTCACTCACATCCATATACTAATGAGGTTAACACTTCGCGGACTGGACGCCTAGGCCTAGGCGTTTGGGTTTTAAACGTGGCAGGCCAGGTCGCCTAGATTTAGGCTTTTAGGACACGTTATGTTTCAACACACTATTCCTCACTTTGGTGGCTACGTGTTTGTAAAAGTACTGCGTAGCTGACCTTCGGAATGTTTGTTTTCCGAGTCAGCAACATGACCACTCTCTATTCCCCTCTCACTCTAAAGAAAAGTCCCTTTGTTCAAGTCGAAGCTTCTATGTGTGAGGCAAGATATTCTCAGTGTCAACATGGCTCAGAGACGAAAGCAGTAGAAGGCCACATGAGCTCTCGGAGAAGAAGAAATCTGAGATTTGATCTCTGATGAGTTATCTGACTTGCCTACTGCTTCGTCTTCTGATAGTGAGGGCAGTGTCAGTGGCAGTGACAGGAGCCCCCAAAATATTGTGACCAGAAGAGAAAGTGAAAGTGACAGTGAGAGCTCCGATGAAAGTGCGAGTGCTAGCATTGCGGGAACAGCCACATGGGGTAAAGTGGACAAAACACCCACTTTGGGAAAGTTTACTGGTGATCCAGGGGTGAGACAAATGCCATCGGACCCTACGCAAGTGTCTGAAGTAGCTGAACTGTTTTTTGGAGATAGTTTCTTTGACATGTTGTGTCAGGAGACCAACAGATACTATCTTCAACACCGTGAGGCATACGACAGTACCTATAAGGTGTTGAAGTGGGTGGGTGACACTTCAGCAGAAATGAAAAAATTGTTGGCAATAAACGTTCTAATGGGGTTTACAAAGAGGGATAATTTGAAAGACTATTGGTCCACTGATCCATTTTTAGAAATTCCCATTTTTGGCAAACTCATGAGTTGTAAGAGATTTGAACAGATATGGTGGTGTTTGCATTTCAATAATAATGAACTGCAACCACAATCAATGGGCAAGCTTTTCAAAATTCAGCCCTTATTAGACTTTTTCGCGGAGAAATTTCAGACAGTTTATAAGCCAGAGCAGCATCTGTCTTTGGACGAATCTGTGATTCCTTGGAGGGGAAGGCTTCATTTTTGAACGTATAATCCTTTGAAACTCACAAAGTATGGCCTACTTGTTCATGTAGTCACAGAAAGCACTTCAGGCTATACTGGAAATTTAGAAATTTATTCCAGTGAAGGAAAGAAATTGTAAGAAAATATTGTTTCCATTTTGGATCCCTATATGGATCAAAATTATTACGTTTATTAAGATAATTTTTATAACAGTGTGGCAAATGCAGAATACCTGCTTTCAAGGAAAGTATGTATTTGTGGTACAATTAGGGTGAACAGAGGCCTTCCTCCAGATCTGAAAGAGGAATGTAAATCCCTGAAATGTGGTGACACCACATTCAGGAAGAAGGGGGACATTCTTCTTCAGTCCTGGAGGGATACTCGCGTTGTGAATATGATTTCCACTATTCACAATTCGAGCATGGTCGATGTTCAAAGACGACATGGCCAAGTGAAGAAGCCTCTTTGTATTTCTCAGTACAATATGTTCATGAAGGGAGTTGATAGAGCTGACCAATACTTGGCCTATTATTCCCTTCCTAGGAAAACAGTAAAATGGACGAAGAAAGTTGCCTTGTGGCTTATAAATTGTGCCCTTTTCAATTCATTTTTGGTTTTCAAAGGGCTAAACGAAAATTCAACTTTGAAATACAAGGCATTTCTCATGAATGTGGCAAAAGCCTGGGCTACAGACCTCANAGTTAGGGTAGTAGGTTTAAAAACGCCGGTCCCCAGGACGATTTAAATATTTAAATCACTGGTCCACGAAGTGTTAAGAATGCATGAAGCTATCCTCTATTTCCCATATGCCTTCATGGCATGGTGATTAATTCCACCTAAGGGCATTACAGCTATATTTCTGTCTCCTATCCAATAAATACTGGAGGCTGTTTCACTGGAGGTAAAGCAGTTCAAGCAAAGAACTCCCAGTCACCTTGGATCAGTAACTCCACATCCCTGTAAACCTTAATGGTCTGATGCTCACACAACTGGGGCCTTACTTTATATTACACAGATATTATTTATCTAAACCAGAAGTGAAGGAAAATCTTTCATTGTTCTTAAGCATCAAACCATGAATATGAAAGGTTATGGCCAGTGTGCATTAGGCAGAACTCCATTATGCAAGATGCAGGGGTAAGGGACCGGTTAAATGAAGTAGAGGGAAAGGATTTCTATTTCTCGCATTAGATGTAAAGTACTCAATACTTCAACAAGTTTCCAACAAACGTCCATGCCACAGCTCAGATAATTAGTCACTGGCTCCTCACAATGAAGGCCTGCGTTCAAATTCATGGTTGTCCATGTGGAATTTGTCATCAGAAGAGTGATACTGGGGCAGGTCCTATTCCAAGTACTTTAGTTTCCCCTGCTAATCATCATTCTGTCAATAATCCACACTAACCTATCACCAGGGGCTGGTACAGTAGGTCCATATGAAGACACATTACCATGTATGTGACGTCATCTCACATACTCCTACAACTAAAAGAATGTGTTCTTACATAGATAAAACTCTGAGTAGATGCGTTTATGATACAGCCTGAGAGCTCTAGGTGCAATAGATCATCCACAGACTAAACAATTAAGAATCTCTACTCTTGGTTTGGAATATTACCTTGATGAGTTTGGGTTCAGAACTGCTGAGTACAAAGGCCGCCGTAGCTGTGCGAAACTCATTGAGGTATACCAGTGCAATGCTGGGTGAGTCCCGTGCCAGCTCCTGCACAATGAGTCGATCCACCATGTATGGTTGCCGAACAACACGCACGCCAACACCACCTTTCTTAGTCGCAGCTTTACATATTAGCAGCACATCCGTTAGAAGGAAACAATGCACGTCCATCTGGTAACACATGTGACTTTGTAACAATAACTTCCACTCTTAAATACAGCTAGTGAACGTCATGCACTTTTTGCATGAAGACATGACTGGTTGGTTATTCTGTTATTTACCTAACGTTTCTTCACATACATTGACTGTGAATGATGAAGTGGAAAGCATGTGGAAAAAAGCTCTTTTGACTTATTTTAAGGTGACATCCCAACATTTGACTGGATGGCTGGATTAGAAGTATGAGAATCATCATTTACTATAGCTGGTCTCCTGGCTGAGGTTTGAACATGGAGCATTCCAAATACAAAGGAAGAATGCTAATTGCTTGAAGTATATGAAATGAATGCACAACAGAGAAACTGTGTTCATTGCCCTGACTATAAGTTTAATTTCTGAAACTACTCAAGAGATTTTGATATTTTTTGTGTTAACTGTGTTGAACCTTATGGTGTTTAGTTGGCAGTGTGTGTGGGTTATAGCTTAGCTCACCTTGGAAGTGGAGTTGTCCTTAAGCTTCAGGTCACTCTCCAGAAGCAGGTGTCTGCGCTGAGTCACGTGACAACCTGGCATTGGACATGTGAGGTCCAGTTCACTGTGTAACTTAAGGATTCGCTCCACATCATCATCTTTAGACTCCTGCAACCAGCACAGGCAGAAGGTAAGAGGAGAAAACATTTTCCTTACAGTCCTTCCTAATCTCACTGGAATATCATTTTATTTCAAAAGAAAGGCCCATAAATTATCACAACACTCCTATCACAGGTATATGATATTTGCCATCAACTAGGCACACTTATTCCAACTTCCATTTATGTCTCACACTTGTCGATGAAATATCACTTAATGTGTACACATCAGCGTATATCAGTAGAGTAAGAACAAGCTCACCTTCATAGAGTATGTCCCATTTAAAAACAAAGGGGTTGGAAAGATAAGATCGTGGTATAACCATCTTTTGGAGTGGAAATATCAATACTCAATTCCAGAGGACTTAGTCAGACAGTATAATCATTGCATACACAGTAGAGGAAATGTCATTAATTCTGGAACACCCCATTTATTGATACAGCCAGAGACACAAATTCAAGATATAAAACTGATTAGGAAGCAGAAAAAGTAGCCGAGATTAAATGCCCGTATTCCTTGAAAAAATTCCCACAGTCTGTACACGTTGCATAGGTGTCAATAAAGATGCCTCATCTAGTGCAAGGCACAGAATAATTTGAAACCAGAAGAGCAACAGTAATTAAAATTCTGGGAGTCCCTCTCCACAACCATGGTGAGGAAATAATCAATAGCAGCAAAAAGGCTTTAAATTAATCAAGCAGAAGGCACTACTCACCACCACATCATATGACTCTATCCTTGCAATGATTCCTTTCAGTCGCTCATGATCCTGACGCTGTCGAAGTGTGGAATTGACATCATTCACAAACTGGTCCACACACTTTATCTGCAACACAGTCATAATAACATGTCACAAGCATGTGAAAATGAGGTTCTATCTTTTGAAGTGTGATAATTTATGGCTTCTTTTTGGAGACCTATTACCAAGATGTGCATGTTTGGCTGCCTGCCTATCTATCTAAAATCTGGTCCAGCCTGGTTCTGTTCTGTTGATCAACTGGCCAGCCAGCACACAGAAGAGTTTGTTATGGTCCCAGAGGTTCACTATTTGAAGTAAACTCACCATTGCGGCAAGACTATCCCGATGCTCCTCATTCTCTGTGTTCCTGTGGATTGCCTTCAGCAACAATGAGTACTTGGTGAGTCTCTGCATGGGTTGGACTACAATGTCCATGAGGCGCAGTCTGTTGCAGTCCTTCTGGGTCTCACACCACTAAAATTCAGTAGCCCATATGTAACACATCCTTCCTAACACTGAATTATAATTTTCCACAACTTGAAGGAAGTGCTGACATCATATTCCAGCAAGATGGTGTACCTCATGTTTGGGGGTTATATAAAGAACAAAGAGTATGCTTCAAAATTGGCATCATTACAACTTAAGGGGGAGAATACTGGAGGCTACAGCTGCAGTTACCAAAAATACAATGGAAGGTACATGGAAACAGACAATTTTAGGTTGAATGTTAGCTGAGCTATAAATGGAGTTCATGTAATATCAAATCTCATATAAAAAAAATACATTACTATTTATAAGTCACATTTTCTTTCTTTACTTACAGTTTATTTAATTATACTCTCAGTAATTACACAGTTTTAAACGACTGAATTGAAAGGTTATGAAAGGAGTCGTTTTGGCAAACTTTAAGGTACAATCTTGGCCATCGTCAAGTTTAAGGGGCTGAGGAACAACACGAAAAACCTCTCAGGATTCTTAGTGTCCCAGGTGTGACTCAAACAATGTACCTCATAAATAAAAGTGTCAGGATTACCATTACAGCCAACTTGTTCAGTAATTTATTTTGCTCTTATATCACAATTTATAAATAATTAAAACTGAAATACTGGAAATGTTTTAGGGAAACCATGTATATTCTGAAGAGAGCAGTCTTCTGGGTTTTGGCACCGTGTATATGTGATCTTAACCGACGTTTCGGAGGAACGTATCGCCTCCATCTTCAGGGTAGAAGGAAAAATATAAGAAATCCGCAGGCGAAGAGACCATGAGAACCGGAACAAGCAGACTGGTATTGAAAATATACACAGCTATGTGAGAGCAGTGAAGGAAGGGGGGAAGGGCCAGTCTACAAGTGAAATCAGTGGAGTGGGAGGGGGGGAAAGGAGCTGGGACAGAAGCAGGGTTTTGTGTTGGGGGAGAGAAAGGCGAAGTTAAAGGATGGGCACTAACCCTTAAGCTGGGGGGGGGGGGGTTGTGTGTTTGTGGGACGGG